CGCCCCAGCAGGGGTCGGCGGATTACTCTACAGTCAGGGCTCATGTCGTTTCTTGCAGGAGCTCTCAACGACGAGACTGAGGCAGAGGACCTGCTGGTGTTATGTGGGGTGTAGCAGTCGCTTAGCAATCCATGCCGTGACCCGCCGGTAGCTTCCTCATCGAAGCAATGTCTTCGGCTGTAGAGAGGTCAGAGCGGCGAATGTATTGGGATGGTCACTTCTCGCTGCCACTTGGACTAGATGTGCGAAGCATCACGACCTGGCCCATAGCGCTTTCGCTGCTGGCAACGACTCCGGTTTACCGTGCGTCGCCAAGTGTGCTCGGTTTCAGTACGGTCATGAAACGGTGTCAGGTTGGAAAGTACTGGCAGATGGCCCTCCACCTCTTGGACACCATGCCAAACAACGGAATAAGGGCTAATGTTATCAGCTTTAACACCACCATCAGCGCCTTTGATACGGACGGCCAGTGGGAGACAGCCCTTCACTTATTGACAAGCATCACATTGGCCGGCACCTCGCCAACAATTATCAGCTTCAACACCACTATCAGCATGAATGAGAATTCTGGTGAATGGAAAGCTGCCATGGGAGTGATGCAAGGCATGAAACGTTTCAGCACGGCGGCAGATGCCATCACCTTCAGCGCGGTAGGCAGTGCATGCGAGAAGGGTCAGCAGTGGCACTCCTCCTTGAGCTTGCTGGCACAAATGCCATCCTCGAGAGCTGTGCCCAACACTGTCTGCTACAGCAGTCCCATGATGGCTGCTCAAAGTGCCGGGCATTGGCAACTTGCGCTCTGCCTTCTTGCCCACATGAGGATCTGTTCGCTCCGCCCGGGTCTCCTTGCTTTCAATAGCACCATCACTGCTCTCAAGTGCGGCGAGAAGTGGCAAGTTGCTCTGCAACTGCTGGGCCACATGTTGTGTGGAAGAGTGTTGCCTGATGCAGTCAGCTACAACAGCGCAATCGGAGCTTGTTCAACTCAGTGGGAGGCTGCTCTGTTTCTCCTGGAAAGTATGTCTGAGCATCATATACCTGCGAACACCATCACATACAACGGCGTATTGAGCTCATTCGCCAGAAGCTCTGAATGGCAGCATGCTTGCAATCTGCTTTGGCGCATGTCTGACCTGAACATAGAGCCGAATGGAATCAGTTTCAACACCGTGATCGATGCAACAGAGAAGGGTGACCATTGGGAGCATGCCCTATTGGTTGTGGAGGCAATGCCAGCTGCGGGTGTCAGAGAGGACGTCATCACGTACAGTAGTTTGATAAGAGCCTGTGAGCGTGGGGCCTGCTGGGAGCGTGTCCTCCAGCAGATGTCCACCATGATCGAGTCCAGTAGTTTGCCAGACACAATTTGCTGTAACAATGCTGCCAGTGCTTTAGAAGCTGCAGCACAGTGGGAAATGGCAATGAAGCAACTGGGGCAGATGGTGGCTCCCGACGCAATGGGCTGTGCCAGTGTTGTACGCGCATGCGGTCAGAGGCTGCAGTGGCACACTGCACTGCAGCTCTTTGACAGCTTGTCCGACGGGCGCTTGACATCGAACGTGATCTGTTTCTTAAGTCTTGCTACTGCATGTGAAAGAGCTGCATGCTGGAAGTTCTTGCCCGAACTGTTGGACACCACGGCTTCTTATAGCATCTTTGAGCAGTTTGGTGTGTTGGCGAGCCATGCGTGTTGCCACGATGGCTTTGGGCATTCTACGAATTTGTGAGACATGTGGCGGCTGTGCAATGCACTGTATCGGACCGACTGGGCAGCTTGCGGACTTTGCTTGCCCGAAAAAACTGTTGACGACAAGTAGGCATCATTACAACAGAGCAATTGTGCTGGCACCCTCATGAAACGGTACCAGTGCCATGAAAAAGACAACCAGTGCGCAACTCCGGCTCACAATGATCCTTTCCGCTGCAGTGTCAGTCTGCTGCAGTGTCAGTCCCTGGAAGACATGCCGTATCATGCACTTCTCCCAGCCACCTGAGAAGCTACAAGCGGACCTGGCAAAGAGCCTCCGGAAAGTACGGATAGAGAGCGAATACGACGCTCGGCAAACGTGCATCATGCCGTACTTTTCTTGCAGATCACTTCGTCTTCCCCGTACTTGTTGTGTACAGTTTAGAAGATTTGCGAAAAGACGCTGAATCAGTGAAAACCCCAAACGGCACGATAGTGGCTTTGATGCAGGACACCGGCGCATTGTGGCAGTTCGCAGCTTATCGGTGTGGCTTCATAGAACACTGACAATTGTGTGCTTCTGCTGTGCTGTGCCCAAAGATAGAGACTGTCATGCTGAGCCACTACTCGCATGGAAGGTGCGCCACCTGCCGCGAAGATCCGGGCTAAGCACCATTCTGCATATGTCTTTTATGAGCGTGGAAGTGACTTTGCAGCTTGGCTGAGGCCGGAACGCCGGAAAATCCACTTGCCATGCTGGCTGCGGCCGGCGTGCCCGGTTTATCATGCCAGTAGTCGTGGGATTAGCAGTTAAGATTTGTCGAGAGGCCAGAGAAGGGGCGGTTGAACATATTTATTTGTAGGGAAACTAGGAAATATTGGGGATCGAGCAAATCAGAGTTTAGGGGCAAAATAAAAAAGTAATTAACAGGAGTGTGTCGATAATGAGGAATTGTTGGTGTTTTATTCGGTTTGTGCATCGCGACCTACGGTTTCGCACCGAAATCCTACTGTAGTGCTATGTTTCTCCTGCTTTTTCCTATTTTAGGGGAGAAATATGGCAAACATAGGGGACACCAGATTATGTAGAACATAGGACAATCGCATTGTGTCGGAAACGAACAGGTTTCGTTGTGTTTTTGGATTTTTGCATCGAAACCTACACGCGAATCGCAAAACAGTAGGTAATCAGGAGTTTCATTTCAGAAATATTGGTTTTGGCACGAAACCCTAGGTTTCGATACAAGAACCGAAAAAAAGTGCCGAACATGCGTCATTTTCAGCACAATCCTTTGCGTTTACCGTTCTCCTATTGTTTCCCACATCTTTCCCTATGTTCCCAGAGTATATGCTGGTCCCCGGACGATCACAGGAACCAATGCACCCGTGGTAACTCGCTTGGTTTATGGGCCTCCGCGACCTTATGTTTCCTTGATCCGGGAAAAATTAGAGGAAATACGGTAATTAACTAGGATTTCGGTGGGAAATCCTAGGTTTCGATCCAAAAAATCGAGGAAGCAACGAAACTGGTTCATGTTCGAGCATCTTTTATACGAATTTTTGTTCCTGTTCTCCCTCAGTTTTCCCCAGAGTGAAAAATGGTACTAACATAGGATTTCGGTGGAAAATCCTAGCCGAATTTAAGATGCACGACACCCTCTCAAGTGCACGAAAGGACGAGAGAGCAGACTGCCACCTTTTGTATACACATTTATTTGTTTCCATTGTTTCCTATTACCCCTAGAAACACTTATTGAATCTGCGACTCCAGCCCAGAAATTACTGTAAGTCTTAAGGTTAGCGCTGGTGAGTCTCTGAGGCTCGATCTTTGCACCCGCGATGGTGAAACCTTGCAAACGGATACTGCCTGATGTCATCGCCGAAGAGGGGTCAGCATGACTCCTCCTTCAATGTAGAATGCTTAGGCGGGATCTGCTGACGATGGGTGTGGTGAAACTTGGGTTGTGGCGGTGTCTCTTCCACGGATGTTGCATTGCTTTCTCCGCTGTTTGCCTGTTCGGCTCTCCTCTCCTGCCAGGTGGTGCCGTGGCAATCCAAGTCCAGTCATCGAGGTGGCCTTCCAGGCCGTTGCCGTGTAGGGACCTTTTCTTGCCAAGTTGTGCAGTCAAGCTCTGCAAGGCTACGCTCGCTTTACTTCCTGTCGACATCTTGTGCATGTGCCGGGCTGAAGATCCAGTCCAACCTTCGCATGGGCCTTTCTGCATGTGGCTGACTGATGCAGGCTGTGTCGGACGACATGTTCTGAAATGCTAGTGTGTAACGGGGACGCATGACCCAGATCCAGATGCCTTCGCTTGTAAACGTACAATGCTGCACGAGACCCTCTAGCTATTGCGCTCCAGCTGCACTTTTCTGGCCACAGGCTTGCTCTTGCCCTTCGTTCCAACCTGCTCTTGCCATGCATCGCGTGCTGAGTGCCTTGGCGGTTTTGTCAGTGGCTTCTGGAGTTGCCACAGACGACTGCTCCCTGCTTCAAGTTGATACACAGGGCCGCTCCAAGGAAAGCAAAGAACGCTTGCAGACTGATGTGCATGGTTGGAAGAGATCGAAGATGAAGGGAAAGCATCAGGTCCTCATCCCGAAGCCCCTCGTGCATTCGAGTGGAGATGCGGAGCTTCATCTTACACCTGAGTTGCTAAGCATGCTGAGAGAAGTCGCGGAAGCTCAAGGTCCGGAGTGCCTACACATCGTTGAAGCCCAGTTCCTTTCGCGCTTGCCAGGCTTGCCAACTGAATTTAATCACAAGCGAGAAGAGGAGCTAGTTGAAACATCGATGGAGCTTCGGAAGACCTTCAAAGTAAGCTTCCATCACCCGATTGAACTTTGGAAGGGCCGGGAGTCGTGGCAGCCAATCCGTGAGAGGAATGAGAGTTATGGCCTCTTTGTCAGTCCTCATGGCATAGGGATCGACGCTCATACTCCATGGGGGCTTGCCAATGCTATGTCGACTTTGTATCAACTCCTGGCAATCAAAATATCGGATGAAGGGGTTCGTATCACGATACCGGGCTGCCCACATGAAATCCAAGATCGACCAGCCTACGTGCACCGGGGCTTCCTGTTGGACGTCTCGCGGCAATGGTATTCCATTCCTTGGATCAAAGAGCTGGTCAGTGTGCTTGCAGAGTTCAAACTGAATGTGCTGCACCTGCATCTTACCGACACGGCTTCTTGGCCGCTCGAAGTGGATGGCTACCCGGAGGTTGCACGACACCTTGCTTACCGTGACAACAACGGGAGACCATTGACATACTCGCGTCATGATATCCGTGAGCTCGTCGAATTCGCACGTGTTCGAGGCGTGTCGATTATGCCGGAGATTGATGGGCCAATGCATGCACCTGCGCTGGCTTCAGGTGATCCCCTCCACTTGACAGTGGCTGCAACGGTAGAGTACTCTACACAACAGTTTGCAGTTGAACCGCCACCAGGAACTTGGAACATCTCCGATGCTCGAGCACTGAATTTCGTACGGCGAGCATTGCAGCAGGTAGAAGAGGATTTCTCGACTTCGCCTTTCTTGCATATTGGAGGAGACGAGCCCGTGGCTGCATCCCTTTGCACGCTGCTCCCAGAGCCTGAAACAAAGAAGTGCCTGGATCAGTGCAAGGTCCCCTGGACAAAGGGTTGTGAGCCCGTGCCCGTGAAACCAACGGACGCAAATCAGACTTACTGGTTCCCAGAGGTGTTAAACGCAAAGGTCCAAGACTACTTCGACTCCGTGGACCCTGCGCCCGCCCAAATTCCAAGGGCTGTCTGGTCAGGAGCCGTTTCGGACTGTGGCGTTCAATTGCCATGTACCCGTCTGAAGACAAAGTCGGCGCTGCAGTTGTGGGAATTCCCAACAGATGCATCCGGCCGGCCCATGTTGTCTGAACAAGACTGTGAGAAGTATGACCTCATACAAAGTGCCGCTACATATCCGGAAGGCGGTTCGCAATATGGCTGGCTGTACATGGACTGCGGTTCTGGCGCGAACTGGGCATCAATGTCGCCGAATTATTGGTGTCCTCGTGCTTCATGGGCAGCACTTTACTCACTGAATGTTACGCAAGGATATGGGCCAATACACACGCCTGCCTGTCAAAAGGCTTTCCTCGGCGGTGAGATGGCGCTGTGGTCTGAGATAGGAGGCATGGGCAATGCCATGAGCTTGATCTTTCCCCGTGCGGTCGCCTTTGCTGAACGCATGTGGAGCAATCCCAAAGGCTTGCAAGTGGAGGAAATGAAGGGTGGTACCCCTCCCGGCTGGTATTGGGAGGCACATCTCCGGGATGCCATGGAGAGGCTGAATACCGTGGTGTCAAACTTGGAAATGCTGCACATCGGGGTATCTCATTTGCAGCCCGAGTTCTGCAGGATCCATCCTGAGTTCTGCAATGCATACACTGCTTCCATTTATGCGGCCTAATCTGAGATATGGAAGCCGGCCAAAGGCCGCCCGCTCAACATACAATCCCTCCAACTCATATTCCTTTTGCCATATCGGAAATTGCTACGTACTTCCTTTTGTTCCTTCCCAGACCCCTGCTGCTAGGGCTACACCGAAGTTTAGCTACAAAGCTGAGCTTGCCTCTGGTTCCTCGGCAGTTTCTGTCAGTCTTCTCGTGCAAGGGAGAGCTCACTCCTAGTACCCTCTCTTGTCCGCCATGAGTGCAATTCACTTGCATGAGTTTCAAGTCGTACTCGTAGGATGCTACGCTCCTCGAAACTACAACAGTGAGGCCTACCCAGGGTACCGCAGTTTGAAGGCTGTGCCGCCTTGCTTCCAGGGTCAACACGACCCTTTCGGATGTTGCCAACAGGGTCCCGCCTTTCGCCCCTTGACCCTCTTTGTCCAGCTGGCCCGCACGACCTGTTACAGTCACTGCCGCCATCGTCTTCCCAGAAGCTTCTGGAGATGTTGGATGTGCAGCTGTCGTGCTTTCGCCTGCTGTGATGTACGAGCATCAGCACAGAAGAAGGCAAGACTGCTGGCTGAGCATCGACACTCAGCCGTCTTTTTCCGAGTTTCTTGCGATGTTAATGCTCCGAGGTGAGCTGTGGACTGGCACATGCAGAGGATGTCAGAAATCAGGCCAGTGTGCACTTAGCAACTCGTAGGGTATTCAGCGCCAAGCTGGTGTTGCCTGCTGGCGATGGCACAGGCAGGTCGATCGCTTTTCTTTTTCGTCGACGCGGCCGGTGGGGAGTTTCCTTGCCCCATGCGTCGTGCTGAGCATGTCAAATGGCAAGCAATCAGAATGCTGGTGGGCCGTGTCGAGCTCGACAGTCATGTGCGAGCGCAAGTCTTGCCAGGGATGAAGATCCGAGGTGCCGATCTGTGGCGAACTGCTTGATCCCCTGCGTGCCTGACGAGGCAGTCGTTCAGAGTGTCGATTCCTTCTGCAACTAGTTAATTAGCTGGCTCGCAGAGCGACCCAGGAGTTCCTCGACTCCGGGGATGCATCTTGGCAACCGGAGGTGGGCACTCTCAACGATCCGAAGTGTTCCTTGTGGTGGAGAACCGCCAGTTGGAGCTTGGCATCGTTCCCTTGCAGAAGCATCTCTTGCCAGGTCACGCACGCAGTCTCGGCTCCCAGCCGAGTGCGGCCGCCACTTCCCGCCTTGCAGTCTGCTCTGCGTGCATGCGCGGGACGGGCGAGCAGGGCAGAACCGGAGGCCTGTGGACGGAAGAAGTTACTTTGTGGCCGTAGTGAGCGTGCCACTGGGCTTTGGAGAAGCAGGCTAGCCCCGAGCAGAATGAAGGCCAGCTCGACGACAGCCAAGGCTGGTATCGGTTTCTTTCTCTCTATCGTCTCGGAATGTCAGCAGCTTGTCCAACAACTTGTAGCATGACATTCACGACTGTGTCGTGATGTCAGGAGCAGCGCTGTCAGTGCCGTTGCTTCGTGCAGCTGCCGCGGAGCTGCGGGGAGCGGCAGCTCTGCCCGGGATCCTGCGACGCTGCATCACGATGCGAGATGCAGAGCTGTCGTCTTGAGGTTCCCTTTACAGCTGATGGACGAAGGGCCCCCTGCGCCGCTCTACGCGGCGCTCTTCAGGTCGGCCGCTCTGCTGAGGCGCCGGGACGTGCTCCGACCAGAGCTTTGCGGCAGCTTGCGGGCACTGACCTGTGGAGGTCCGGTGCTGCAACAGTAGCACCAAAGCTGGAGGCCTGGCTGAGTGCGAGATAGCATCACCGGCTGATACGCTTCAGAAACTTATGAGTCTTGGCAAAAACCGAAGGCAGCACATCTGCCGCCTATGTCTTATCCGTCCTATCCAAAATGGCTGGTCCGTCCGAACTCTATCAACCTTGAGTGGGGTTCCATGGAGCCCGAAGCCAAGCCGCAACAGGTCTCTCTTTGAGAAGCGGCAGCGCTCTCTAGCCCATCTGTGGACTTTCTGACAACACAACGGGCCAAAGAGAGCCCCAATCGAGCACTACTGCAACAGTCTGATTCATTTGAATCACAGCCGTCAGCGACTGTAAGCAACACAGGGGGTGAGGGTATCTTTCGTTCAAAGTGCTGCCAGGACAACGGTTGGCAGTCCCAGGCCCCGGCGCTACGTCAGCTGCACGTCACGTCATCAACCCGACATCACAGATGTGATCCTGTTTTATACTTATGATAGACTACCTCGCAGGGGGACAATTGGACCTTGGAAAACAGATGTTTATGTCGAATCTACTGCGCCTGCCACCCGAAACAGGCTTGTTCTTGCAAACGTTGACAGCTTGTTTTTTTTTTGTTTTGCGTTTACTGTTTGGAATTGCTTCACAGTGGGGTTTTGGCAACGCTAGTCGCTGTTTTCTGCTTGGTAAGGTTCTTGCCGGGGAAGTAGGAGATTGAAAGTATCACTGGCTAACAGCGGCTAACATGCCGGAAATACCTGTCACACGAAAGAGAGTTAAACATCTCAAGCAAGACTTTGTGGGATATGAGATGAGATGACACGTATGACATGGTATGGGATGGTATGAGATAATATGAGATGATAAGAGATGCAACCGAGACTGCAACCAGGGAGTTCGAAAGAAATGTGTCATGTGAGATGATATGACATGGTATCAATGGTATGGAATGGTATGAGATGATATGAGGTATCACGAAAGTACTGTACTGAGTAAAACGGCTCTTGTGGAGATACAGTTCAGGGTGTTTGCGTAACAATGTCGTCATCGTCCCCCCCCTCATCCGCCCCACCCCCATAACAAGCAAAAGCTAGGCGCAGAAATCCCCGCTCCTGCATAGACTATATGGATTAAACAGAGTATCGTGCTATGTTGTGTGCCATGCGAAAAGCTTGTTATGCATGGCACACAACGAGTTATGCGATATGTGACATGCCTCATTTGGTATGTATACATATGCACACCATTCGTTGAAGAATTGCTGCTTCTGTTTTGTGCTGTTGTGTTCGATTTTGAAACAGTCGATTAATTGCTGCATTGGGTTGCATGATACTATGGTGTATCTTATTATATAGTATCATAACATGCTGTATGGTGTAGATTGTGCCATATTGCATTATGTTGTAGTGTATAACAGCAGATTTTCCACACTAGGTACACTCTTCATTTCTCACATTCCTTTCACATTTCCGTATGTCCGAGCTCCCGAATCGCAGGGCGCCCTTCATTTCTTATCCATGTCTTAGCCGGGGCTCGAGCCCAGTGAAGTCCATCAGCTGAGCCAAACGCCTGAACCATTACACTAGACAGACGCCGCCAAGACAGTATTACAGGACACTTTAGTCTGTGTAGTGTCTAGATGCAACTGCCAGCACTTCATGGCACGGCAGCTGACGCTCCACAGTGGCGGTATATCATCGTATATTATACGATAGCACAGTATAACACAGTAGCCATGGTGTTGTGTAGTCTAGTACAGTGTATAGTATAGTCTAGTACAGTCCAGCTCAGTACAGTATAGTATAGTTTGTGCAGTATAATTGAGTATAAGGTAGTTCAGTCGAGTCTAGCCTATTCCAGTATCAGTATAGTATAGTATCGTATAGTACAGTACAGTATAGTATAGTAAAGTATGTTCCGGTATAGTAACGACTCTAACGTATAGTAACGTATAGTCTAGTATAGCATATTGTAGTGTAGTATAATATAGTAGACAATGGCAGAATGCAGTATATTTCAGCATAGTATAGTGTAGTATAGTATAGCACACCAGCATATGTTGTAGTAGAGCATAGTGCCGCATAGAAATGTGTAGTATAGTATAGTACAGTACAGTATAGTATATTATAGTTTTTACACACACACACAGACGAAGCACGCATGCATGATGATTCTACGTGTTTCAACGTACTTACTGCGAGGTTCTCGGGTGGTTGTCTCAGCCGCGGGAACCGTGGTTGCTGGACTTGAAGGCCTGGCCACGGTGTGTCAGACTTCGGCGATTTCATTCGCAAGTCACTTTTGAAAAACACTTCAGAGCATCTCAGCATGAAGGAACGTTCCGGCACAATCTGTGCTGTGACTTGTGTCAGTGTTTGATTGTTTGACTTTGAGCCTTTCCTCGCCTGGGGTTTAACGCTGCAAGAACAGAGCATAGGCAGAGAAGGCAGTCTTGTGCAGTCATGGTTCTCCAGTTACGACATGCTTTGCAGTCTGGCTGCAGATTCACAACTCCTGCCTTAGCAGAGAGGCGGTTTGGTCTAATCTAGAATCAAATCAGTGATAGCGACTGGCCCACGAAATCTACAAAGCCGATGTCATGACGGCTGGCAGCCCCTGCGGGAATGGCACATTGCAATCGGGAGCCACGGAAGCTGGAGCGGCACACAGATTTTTTTTAAAACTCTTTACAGGTTATGCCAAATTGGCAGCAGCTTTCTGACGGTTTTCAGTGCTTGCAAGCCACCGTCAGCAGCACTTGCCATCCGGATTGAGGTATTCTGTCGCCTGCTGCTAGATGGAGAGGTCAAAGCTACGGAAGCAATGGTGGACGCTTTGCGCAGACAAGCTATCTGTGCTCATGGACAATCAGCTTCTTCATGTACGTTTGCTAAACTGCAAGTGTGACCAGGTTCATACGGGCATGCATCTGACCGTGGTAGCTTGCCCAGCTTCGCCAGCGGCCCAGTTTGAGGCTGTAACAACACAAATTGGCCGAAGTTGACAATAGTAGCTGAGAACATCCGCGCAAATTCTCCCGCAACCGAACCCTGTGAAAGCAATTACCTACGAGCCAGAGAAAGTTGAGCATGTTCCGGTTCAGCAGAGTTGATCCAGTTTCCTGTGTCCTTAAATTAGAGCTTGTCAGACCCCGAGATCCTGATTAGGCTTGGTGAGGATGCGCAGCGTGTGCGGCTTCAAGGCCTGCGCACATGTAGGTGTGAGTCATTCGCGTGTGCACACTCTTGTGTGTGTATACATATGTGACGCATGGCGTATTGTGTGTGTATGTACACATATTGTCATTTGTCCACGATCATCCTAGATGTACACCTGTCATTCATGCGATTAGGCATCTTAGCAACTTCGTTTCACATCCAAGCTTGACTCACAGATAGAGATAGATATACAGCTACTTAGATAGACAGATGGATAGATATGCCTGCGTGCTTTTCTGCGAGCCTGAGCTGACATCTTACGGCACCTCACCACATGCCGCGGCCATCTGCGAATCTGTTCCAATTTGACAGCAGGCCCAGACGAGCAGAGTCAGTGCATCCGGGTGGCACAGAAATCATGTTCAGGGCCAAGACGGTCGACTCTTTTTGTTATGCTGGCGAGTTCAGGCCAGACAAACGCCCACAGTTGTCGACGTCTCGTCTGTTGTGCAGTTCCGTGAACCGCAACAGTCAAGTCCGGGCAGTCATATCCACACCTGCGAAGCTTTTGTTTTCGGTTGCGGCTGTCATCGACTGTCGACTTGTGCGAGAGTGGGAGATACTAAGGCGACGTCGTGTTCTATGCGGTTGACTCGTCGATGTTGGAGCTAGAAAGCTACACGGAGTGCCAACGCTTCAGGCACGGAGCTAGTCGATTCGGTTTAGGCGAAAGGCTAAACACTCTCTAGCAGCCGAGCGCGGCTAAGATCACGGCTTACTGCCATTGCCCTGCACTCAATGCGACGAACCTGCCAGTTCGACGCCTGACCTCCAGCATGCCATCGTGGCGTTTCAAGAAACGCACCCGTCTCGGCAAGAAGAGCGGTTTCCTTCAGAGTACTCTTCGGAACATGCTTGTTATGAGCTCTTATCCAGCACCTGCAGCTTGTAAGATCACATGCCGGTAGAAAGGTGGGATGCATGCTTCGCCCCTGCTCTCCGATGTGAGGTCCGGGGACTAGGACAGTCGTCAGACCATTCCTGGACAGCCGTCTCTGCGAGTTTCAGTGTCAGGCGCTGCAGCACGTGATGGATCTGCCGCTCTCGCCGAGCAGCCGACGCTTTCTGTGGAATAGCCCCTGGGACTGGAAGGACCGGGCGACAGAAGCAGGGAAGTCTCCTTGTTTCTGTTCGCGTGCGCTTCAGCAGAAATGCATCTGGGTGCAATAGTTCAAGTTGCAAAGCACAAGCATATAATCAGATCGACTGGTGTCTCAGCGTGAAGCGGCAAACTGCTGCGAGCAACAGCTAAGGTGTTGTGCGCCTTGGAAGCAAGCCGTTGCAAATGTCGGTGACCAGAAACCGACCAGTGCCCAGCAGTCACCGGCAGCAACCGTGGGCAGGTATATGGTGTGCCTCCTACCTGCCTATCTAAGCTGGGTCCTATCAAAGACTGATTCGTGGGAATGCTAGATCCTGGGCTCAGGATTGTTCCTGACTTCTTGACACGGGAGGTGTCTCAGTGGCAAGCCATTAACTGCAGAGAAACACTGCAAGCTTAAGGAAAAACCTCAAGTGTTTTTGCTTGTGTCTAGCGAAATCAGCCGGCCAGCTACATGCTTAGTGAGTCGGTCCCTAAATGGAGGAGAAGTTAATTCTTTCCTATTCCTTGGCGGATCAGAAAAAGCAGCCCTGCAAAGGCAGCAAGCTAATGCCCAGCACAGCCGAGCTCTGAGCATCAAGGAGTGTCACGTCCTCATGGATGCCGCTGACCGGGCTGCTTCTGTGGGCACCAGAGCTGGAAACTTTTATGCGTACCAGGGCAACATGAACCGATTCCTGGCTGCAACTTGGAGTCTCTGCAATCGAAGGAAATGCTGCCCAAAATGCTAGTACAGCGGCCGACCGGCCTTCCTTGCGCATTGTTGTTGGAAACCCAGCACATTCACAGTGACATGTTGAATGCCGTTCATGCTTTCAAGTCGGCCCGGCAAATCCGCCAATCCGCTGATGGATTTCAGAATGAATGCCCTGCGACCTGACGAGATGTCTGCAGTCTCCTCAGGCCCAGGCTCAGGCGAGTCCGAGTCAGGCGAATGTGAGGAAGGCCTTGCTCAGAAAGCCTGGGGCAATTGCACGTCTTCTTCGAGAGCTGAAATCGGAGAACCGGGCAGACTTGGTGCTTTGCACGCTCGCCGAGGTAAGGAAAGGTGGCGTGCCGATTCCTCATCATTTCGATGTGGCCATAAGTGCGTGCAGTTTGGCCACATGGTGGCAGACTGGCCTGTCACTGCTGACTTCAATGCCGGTGGAAGAGGTCCCAGTGAACACTGTCAGTTGCAATACAGGCATCGGCTGTGCGGATCAATGGCATTCGGCTTTGGGGCTCTTCAGGTGGATGTGCAGCAACCGGATTACCAAAGACCTCATCACCTACAACTCATGTATTCGTGCTTGTGCTGAAGACTTCGAGTGGCAGGTGTCAGTGCAGCTGCTTCAGGTGATGCAGCAGAGCACCATGTCGCCTGATATCATTAGTTTGAATTCGTGCATGAACTTTCCTGGCCGTACCAATCTGTGGCACTTGCCAGGGCAGCTTCTTTCAAGCATGTGTGTTGCCCGGATACGCCCATCAGTCGTGACTTGCAGTTCGGCAAGTGGCTGTTCAGACCGGCAGGGATGGCTATCTGCCTTGCAGCTGCTAGCAGACATGCATCAGCTTGGGGTTAAACTGAACGCTGTGAGCATCAACTCGTGCATTTCCTGCATCAGCTCGTGTTCCTCGCAGTGGCAAACGGCCTTGCAGGTGTTTAAGACTGCGACAGGAGGTCGAGTCAGGCCAACAGGTGCCAGCTACAACGCCTGCATAAGTGCTTTGCAAAGCGCTGGCAATTGGCAGATGGCCTTACACTTCTTGCACGTGATGGGTACAATGGACATACCCGCGGGAGTGATCGCATACAGCTCGTGCATTAGCTGCTGCGAACAAGCTGGACGGTGGCAGTTTGCCCTGCAGCTGCTTCACTCCATGGAAGTGGCTTTCGTCAGACCCAATTTGATAAGCTTCAGTGCCTGCATCAGTTGCTGTGCAAAGGCGAACGCGTGGCAGAAGGCGCTAAGCCTCCTCAGAGTCATGGTCGATGTTGGCACACAGCCAGACACAATTGTTTACAATGCCTGCATGAGCGCCTGTGACGTAGCAGGGCAGTGGCAACTGGCTCTCCACCTGTTGGAGGCGATGACCTCTGCGGCTGTCAGGCCGAATCTCATCAGCTGTAACTCTTGCCTCTGTTCGTTGGAAAGGGGCTTTCAGTGGCAGCAGTCACTGCTTCTTCTGGCCTCAATGCTGCGATCTGACATTGCACCTGATGTGGTCACCTGTAACAGTTGTATCGGTGCCTGCGAAAAGTGTGGGCAGTGGGAGATAGCTCTCGACCTATTTCAGACAATGTCCGGAAGAAGAGTCCCAGCTGATGTGGTGAGCTGCAACGCATGCATCATCTCACTCGAGAAGAAGGGGCATTGGCAACTGGCATTGCACTTTTTGGACATCATGTCGCAAGCTCTGCTCAGGCCCAATGCTGTCAGTTATTGTGAGTGGATCGTTTCCTTCGAACGGTCTCACCAACCAGGACTCCTCCTGCGCATGTCGGATGCGTTGCTCGCCGCAAGTGTCAACTTGCTGAGCCGGCTCAGCACCTAATGCACGCCTGTGAGGTTGTTCTCCTAAGTTCGATCGAATTCAAGCAGCATGAACTCGTCAGACCGTTTGGGCACGTATTTCAAAACCGTTTTGCAGGGGAAAGCAAAGGACTTGACATCAGCGTAACCAGCACATCTGTGGGTGGATGCTTCTGTTGCACGCAGCCATGAGAAGTGTTCCCGTCGCTTCTGGCCAAACTCTGACCCAACTCGCGTGGCTCAACTCTTGAAAAATTGCAAGATTCTGAAGGCCCACATCACGCTACTGTAAACTCTACAAGCATGGCCACGAACTGCAAAGAACAAACAGGAAAACAGCTGTAGACAAGAATTGTAGTGACAAGGGCAGCCAGTTGAATTGTGAGAATAGCCAGCTAGCGACCCGTTGGCATGTTGGAGTGGGATGGCTACGACAATGACCCGTTTTGGGTGGGATTCCCGCTGAGCTACGCGGAGGGGGACCACCGCTTGACCATCCTCTCCCTAAGTGTAGCTTCATGGCATAGATTTTTTTTTTGCGTTGGTTTTGTTATGTGATCTTTTAGGCGAACTGTTCCGTAAAGGCAAGTCTTATTTCGTTCTCCATCTTTACCTTCCTGGTATCGACGGCGATCAAAGACATCTGCCGCAAGAACCGTAGCTGCTTGATATGCATTAAAACGGGTCAGCTTCGTTGGTATGTAAGCTTCAGTCCTGGAGTCGCCACAGTACCACAGTGCAGCGACAACCCAATCCACTTGGTGAGGCATGACGCTGTCGGGCACTGTCTGTCTTGCCTTCCTGACCATTGCGGTCAGCTTGGCCCTCCCGTTTCTAGTAGGCTGGCATGCACGCTGCAACGAACTTGTCTTTGATCTGATTCACTGACCGCTTTGATTTTGACGGTCAGGTGGCCTCTTTGGGGTACTTCTGGTGAATTGTCCCTGCTACATTCAATTGGCGACAGCATGCAGACGAGGGATCAGCAAGCCCATTGCTGCCGCAGAGACAGCGGATGCAGCGGCTGAAATTGCTTTGCAGACCTTGCACGATGCTGTGTCACCCAAAGGAGGTGAAGATTCCGAAATGCAAGGCGAAGAGGAGATCGTCGAGATCATCTTGTGGTCGTCAGTCCCCTCTGAAGAGGAGTTGGTGTCCTCTCTTTAATGGCCGGGACTTGAAGACGGAGAAGAAGCTTTTTACTCAATGGAGTAGCTTCTCTTCAGCTTCAACCACGCATCTACCCGACCATCCACCGAAAAAATAGCTCCGCTCAGCAAACATCCGCGAGGTTACGATAGGCCAGTACTTTCTGCAGCAGCTTCCGTGATATACTTGACTCCAGCTTGCGGAGTCCCGATACCAGCCGCATCTGACTTTGTGGCAAGATATCCTTGCCAGCAGCCGGGAGTAGTTGCCACGCCTGTCTCGGCGACCCAAGGATATCCAGTGCGAAAGCTGGATCTAGAAGCTCAAATGCTGTCCAGCTGCCCGGTCTGTTTTGAGGCTGTCGTGTTTCAGTGTCTAGCTCATGTTGCATCGTTTTGTCGCGAGTCGAGTTCTTACATCAGGTTCTGTCTTCAAAGAAAGACTTTCGGCAGCAATGAGATTGTGGGGCACGCGCTGTCGGGCAAGCATTCACGACCGCGCCACGCGCATTCATGCTTTTTCATTCCCGACCCAAAACCCGGCCTCCCGGACGCCCTCGGCCAGAATTTGATTGAGTTCATAAGCTAGACCACCGAAAGTACCAGATTCAGGATTGGTTCCTCTTCTGGAGCGAGAGTGCCTCGTCCGCAGGTTCAATATACCCTGATTCTGAGAGGGAGCACCGCAAGAAAGCTTTCAGCAAGCTGAAGCTCCTGCTACCTCGCAGACCGTCAAGCCTCTTGAGTCCGCGCCCAACATGAAGTGTAGAGCCTCGAATGTACGCTCCCAATGTGTTTTAGGCTGCCTGATGTTGCAGACGAGCTCTTTGGTCGCAGCGAGCGGCTTTGTGCTCGGGCCTTAGCTCCATTCCCGTGGCAAATAAGTACGGCTCCGTGGTCCGTCGAACTGTGGGGAATCGGGAACAGGAGCTCCAGCCCTTCTTCTCGCCTGGCGAGCCGGCAGTGAATCGGCGCCTTGAACCTTTTTATTAAGCTGTGCCTGGATTCCTGGCTTGAAATACGACTGAGGTACATGACCGGGGGTGGTATCGCACCTCACATCGATAGAGTTGCTTGTCCTTGTTGAGATGTGGCGCGTGATGGCATAAGTAATCATAGTTACTTGCGCGTTGAGTGTCCAACTTGAGGAGGCGATGACGCTGAATGTGGTGCTCTCAGAGCCCGGCGCCTTCAAAGGCGGTGGCACGGCCTTCTGGCCCCAGGTGGGTTCTTGGAAAGGTTCCTTCTGAGTCGCAGGATCGTGTGGACCAGACTGTGCGAACAGTCGGATACGAGTGCAGCAAGCGTCAATTCCTCGCTGGAGGTAAGAGCAACCCCCGCCTGAAAGCCTTATTCCGATACAGCCTGTACGCTGCTGTGGCGGCTTTTCTTGGTTCACTCCACCAAGCCTTGAATATTATTCAATGCCCTGCTGACCAGTGGAGCTGTCTGAAAATCGCGGCTCGCAGGTTGACGGCCAGAAAGCAGGCGAAGTCGAGGCGGGGGGGGGGTTCGGCCCAATTCGAAGATTGATATGCCTGATATGCATTGAAAATTGCATTTCCGGCCTTCGTTTCAGATGGGCAGCGAGAAGTTCGACATGTGCACCCCGGAACGAATTTGCTAGCGTGGGACTGCGAGGCCGTGCCAGCGAACAGCTTGTGGCTTCGATTTTTCAGCAAATTAGCATGGGTTGGACAGCGATGCTCGAAAGATCTCGAAAGCCTGTCGCCTCAAGCGATGGTTCGCCTGAAACCCGACAAAACCCGAGGTCATGCAGCAGTTCTGCGGCCAAGGCAGGGCACTGCGATCCTTTTCAACGGCTGCTCGGCAAGAACACCGCTGAAGCAACAGTTCTGCACCCTTACCAATGCATCCCCCGAATGCAGACCCCGTCTGACATTCCATGACATCGCTGCTGCAGCGGTTTCGTTGCCAGGTTCGTCATGAACTAACCCAGCGAAGGTGCTGTCTGCACAATCCATCTTGCCCACCTGTTGACAAAGGCCACATCACTCACGCTGGTCGTCCGGTGGTTTCGGGAATACGCCATGCATATGTACCCAAGCTTGAATAGTGATCCGACAAAGCTTCTCACTGTCTTACAATCGCAAGCTGGCGACCTCTCTCTTTGTCTGCATGGGATGGAACGTTGGGCAACTGGAGCGGTGATTGCACAGCTCCCACGCCCATAATCTGCAGTGTGCCCGTGGGCTCAGGTGGCCAGCTTCAACTTGGTCAGCCTCGATGGCGATTGAAGGGAGAAGCAAAAAAAGGGAGCCAGAGCGACACCATGCAATGTTCGAGGACGGAAGAGCAGTTTGGACAGTGACTCTTTCTCGAATTGGTTTCTCTGCATTTGCGAGTGTTTCCATCCTCAGTGAACTTCCCCTTGGCAGGGCGGAGTTTCTTTCGGGACCTATAAGCCTTGTGTTCCTGATGGTGGACTGCCAGAATCCCCCAACGGGCCTGGCGTAGCACAACTAAGGACGGGAGAGATGGTCAATTTTCGACCCAGTGTATGCTGCAGTGTAGTCTATACCATTGCATACGAGAAGATCTTATTCAACAACATTGAGAGATCGTGAGGGCATTGTAAAAAGCTTGTAGCGGCGCAGTAGAATTAAACCGAATTGTGGTGCTTTGCCCTTCGAAATCAGGCGGCTTTGGCAGATCTCGTCACCACAAAGCTTGGTGATGAGGTGCGCAGCACATCCCAGAGCTGCTGTTGCAAAGTCCGGTGATTCAAAATCCTAGTGTTCCAGGACGGACTCTCGCAAAGCGCTTTTGCGGAGTTAGTGGTGCTGCTGATGAAGGCACAGCTCGTCGTGTTGAGCACGCAGGGCCTGTTTCGAGACAAGCCCAGATTGCACTGTGCAGGTCTGTGTGCGGCAAGACGCCGCATCCAAAGCAGGAGACACTCTTGGTGGGAACCCACGATGGGATTCGAAATGGTTCGTTCTTGTCACCGATCTGATGCACGCGAAGCTGTTTTCACTGGGAGCTTTGCCTGACCTTCACGCGTGTGAGAGTGCAGAGGACTGCATCCCAACGAAGAGGAGGACCTGGCCTCATCAGAACACCACCGGCTTGGTACGACTGTGCCTGATATCTTGGTCTGACAATAACGATCTTGCGCGAGCATTCTGTCCCACAAGGGCTCGAGCAACTGAGCAGAGAGACCCCATTGCGCGAAGGGAAGTCCGCCGAAAGCCGTGGTGGAGTTGCTCCTCTTCGCCGCGCCCTGTGCCCAGCTCTAGCGAACGCACATGGAGAGGCCCCAAGCCATGGTGTCTTTCTGAGACGTCCCAGGTGGATTTGTGCTGCAATCTGGCGTCTACCAGCCCAAGAGAGGAACAGGTTCATGTCTGCATTTCCTGTGTGCTTTAAAGACCCACACGGGGGCTCCAAGGCATGCATGAGCTGTTTTACGATGTCTAACAAGATTCTTCTGAATCGATTGGTTCCCAAGCAAAGCTCCATCGGTTCTAGTCTCTGCCACCTGGGAGGATCCCAGCTTTCAAGACTGCTAGCAAATAAGCTACCTTAGTTGCTCGATGTTTTTGCATACTACGCAAGCGACGTCTTGTCACAACCTGTCCGCAACTTAAATCTCAGGGCTTTTGGAGCACTTGAAGCAATCCGATGTCAGCATCCGTAGAAAACCCGCGAGACTCCAAAGGCAGCCAGCGAGGAAGACTCTAGGTTCGGACTCGCTTTGCACAACTTGCAGGCTTGCTTACCTACAAAGCGAGAAGACCGAGTCCGTTGCTGTGTTGGCGACGATGCTGAGGCCCTTGGAGACATGGCAGAAGTCATGTGCTTTTTTCTTTTTTTTTCTGATCTTGTCTTATAGGGAAGCAGCGTACTCATCAGGCACTGTCTTGGACAGTCCCAGACCACCGCCAGAGAGTTTCTGGCTGATGCCGAGCATTCCATCATGTAAAGGATATTGTCATGCATGCGGGCCTCTCTGCCCCGTTGGCCAGCAAGTCGGATTGCATGAAGCGACATCTTGACAAGGAAGTGCTGTGCCATGCTGTGCCACTGGCCTGTTGAGGACTGCGCTAGTAGGTATTGCTGCTGCGAAACCCTCGAATTGCAGCGCCTGCAGCCTGACGTTCATAGTCTCTCCTCGTCTCGACGCCTTCTTGCTTTTTCTTTTGGGTGAGCTTTTTTCCTGCATTGTGCTCGAGGCTACCGGGCCTTGCGACTTCGTTCGACATTCGCATGGTGCGCCCAGAGTCATCAGATCAAGCCATATTCGATACCACGAGTTGACGCTGTCACCGTGCACATGCGGCCACCATGTGCTACCTTCGAACCGCATGCCAGGTCCCGATGGGAGAACTGCCAGAACTGCCAGGGTCGTTGAAGGCAGCTGCGGTGCCAACAAACAAGAAAAATCTGCACTCTCACTGGCTGTAATTAACGATAGATTGAACTCTCGTCGTGCACGTGCCCTCCATGCTACCAGCCAGCTCTGTGATCAGGAAGGCTGCCCTCCCAGCGTGCTCGATGAAATCACCGAGTTTCCATTTATTGACTTGCCGGATGCGTATCTGGACCTCATCAAGGACGGAAGAGCGCCTGTGGTAGTGCGAAGATATGATAGGATGTAGAGTCAATATAGAGTCGACACCAGTCAACCGGCTTGGAGACTCTTCGGGTAGCTACCGCATCAGATCTGACGCACATGTCATTGAAGAGCATTTGAGCGGAGCATAGCAAACGAACACTGTGATGTGGAAGCTCGGCTTCTGATGCTAAACCAACAGCATTGTGATGAAATGCGAGTGAACGCGACTGATTGCTGGAAAGGACGTACGCAAGAAGCCGTGGACTCGAATTCCCTGATTGCAGCACAAAGAAACAGGACTGTTGCGACTGCATGCGGTGCTTGCGCATATTAGCCTTGTAGAGGTGTCCTGTAATATCCTGTAATCAAGCTGGTGGTACATGTGGTACTATGACCATTCGGACATTTGTCGTTTACATTCGTTTACCTGTTTGCCGGGTCCGACGCTGAGTTCCAGGGTCTGGGTTGAGCTTTAGCAGCTGCCCTGAATTCGGAGCTGCAATGCAGTAATGCGCCGCTTTCTCTGCACTGCGCGACGCTCTCTGCATCCTAGCAGATCACGGCGATCTGAAGTGGTGACAAATCTGCTGGACTTGAAACAGCCCCTGGAGCACTTGAAGGTGCAGCAGCTGATTTCTCCAGCGCTTGCCTCCTGGAGACGGGCGCCGAATGCCATCACCATTGTCCTCAACGAGCTCAAGCATGAAGGAAGAGTGGACCTCATCTCTGCGGTGCTGGCTGCTGTCCAGGACGACTGGCTGGTCGAGCTCACGTGCCATCACTTCAACATCGGCATCAGCGCCGCAGTTCGGTCTACACATTGGAAGCATGCACTAGGCTTGCTCTGCTCCATGTCAAATGCGAAGGTCCGGCCAAACGTCGTCAGCTTCACTGCTACAATCAACGGATGTCAGAAGTCTGGGGAATGGCAAACGGCCCTTACGTTGTTTGATGTTCTCCTCCAAGGCAGGCTCCAACCCAACCTGGTCACATACAGTGCCGTCATCAATTCCTGCAGGCGAGGCGAACAGTGGCAGCCTGCCTTGCAGCTCTTTCATTCCTTGCCTGACAGGGAAATCCCGCCGGATCTGAAATGCTACGGTGCAGTCATCAGCTGTTGCGAGAAGGCTGGCGAGTGGCAATTAGCCTTTGAACTCTACCAGTCCATGCCGGCGGCGAAGATTTTGCCCGATGTCGTGAGCCATAATTCGATGCTTAGCTCTCTGGAGAAGGCCGGACTCTGGCAGCTAGCTTTCGATCTTTTCGCTGCCATGCCTTTCGCAAAGATGCAGCCGGATGTGATCAGCTACAGTGCCATGATCAGTGCGTGTGAAAAGGCCGGTCACTGGCAATTGGCTGTATCTCTCTTCACTGGTATGGTCACAGCTGACATTCCTGCCGATGTGATCAGCTACAGTGCCACGATCAGCGCGTGTGAGAAGGGGGAGCAGTGGGAGACTGCTCTGCATCTCTTGCAGAGCATGCCGCAAGGCAAAGTCTGTCCGAATGTCATCAGCTACAGCGCAGCGATCAGTGCCTGTGAGAAAGGCGGAGAATGGCAGCTTGCCTTGCATCTCTTTTCAGAAATGCAGAGAGCTGCTGTGCTGCCAAACGTCATCAGTTGCAGTGCAACGATCACATCTTGTGAACGGGGAGCTCGTTGGCAACTTGCCTTGGACATTTTTGACTCCATGCCCAAAATCAACATTGCGCATAACGTCGTAAGTTACAATGCCGCGGTGAGTTCCTGTGAGAAGGGGCATCAGTGGCACCTAGCATTGCAACTCTTCGACGAAATGCCCTTGGTACAGATATCCCCAGATGTCATTAGCTACACCTCAATAATTGCTTGTTGCGAACGCGGAGCTCGATGGCAGGTGGCTGTCAATCTTTTTGCAAGCTTGCCGCACGTCGGCATCTCTCCGAATGCCATCACATATAGCGCAGCAATAAGCTGTTGCGAGAAAGCTGCTAGATGGCAGCAAGCTTCTCAGCTTTTCGATGCCATGCTAAGCAGCAAGATCGTGCCAGACACTGTCGGATACAACGCCACCCTTACTTCGTGCGAGCGTGGTGGGCAGTTTAGGCAGGATTGGAAAAACTCGGAATTGCAAGCGTCCCTGCTGGCCATGATGCAGAATTACAACGCAACAGCCAGAGATGGTAAGAGCCAGCTGGAGTTGGAATTAAGTAGACAGGATCGCCTGGGCCTCCGTGGGCAAAAGAGACCCTCATAGGAAGCATCGGTGTGTTCTTGTGTTCACATTTCTTGTGTTCAACAGCTATGGCCTGCATGTCCAACACTTTCAATGTGGCCAGTATGCCTGTACTGTAAGGATCAGGTGAACTCGTCGAGCATTTTGCCTGCCTTGTTGCTATTCTGTTATATTCTGTTCGGCCTATGGACCTCAAGATGTTCCGGATCTCCCTCTTAGAATCAAGGAATTTACCGGGATGCTGTGGGCACTACTCCGGCCCCACCTGGCCAAGCACATGCGTCGTCCGAAGCTGGGCAGGCACAGGCATTTCGCACCAACGAGCCAACGTAGCTCACATCCACCGCCGAGTTTACTGGACCGCGATAGGTTGCGGTGTCCGCAGAAAGCATCACAGTATTTGCAAGAACTCCGATCTGAAAATCATCCAGAATTGATGTGTTCCCTGCTTGAGACGATGCTGGAGGCTACACATCTTCGCCCCAGCGCTGGGCAGATATTCATGGGACTGACTGCCTGCACGAGGGAACGTCTCTGGGAGCATGGCCTGACATTGTTGAGGGCCATGCCGAAAGCCTCCGTTGCAGCAGATGTCATGCACTACAACGCTACCATCAGTGGCTGTGGCAAGGCAGAGTGGCAGCTCGGCCTTCTTCTGTTCGAAGAAATGTTCAGCAAGCAAGTTGCACCTAGTCTTGTGAGCTACAACACGGCTATTGCCTGCGCTGGCAACTGGCAGCTGGGATTACACCTGCTGACAGTCGGCATGCCAATGTCCAGGATGCAGCCAGACGTCATCAGCTACAATGCCGCAATCGGCTGCTGCAGCGGGCACGGACTCTGGGAGCTGGCTTTGTGGCTCGTCCATGCCATGACGGACGGAAGGTTGGACCCAACGATTCACAGTTACGGGGCTACGATCAGTGCCTTGGAGAAGGGCAGCCAGTGGCCACTTGCAGTCGACCTACTACGCTCCATGAAAGCCAAAAACGTCATGCCCAATGTCATCAGCTGCAGCGCAGTGATAAGTGCATGCCACAAAGGGGGACAGTGGCGACTTGCTCTGAAGCTATTTCAAGATGCCCTGGACTCATCAACGGACCAAAACGTGGTTAGCTACAGCGCTGCAATCTCCTCGTGTGAAAAGGGATCACTTTGGTCCCTTGCAGTCAACATGCTCGATTCCATGCAAAACGAAGAGATTACGCCGAACGTGATCAGCTACAGCTCTGCTATAAGTGCATGCGACAAGGGGCAGCAGTGGCTCCAAGCCATGCTTCTCCTCGAAGGCATGCCCGTGGTACTTATCACTCCGAATGTTGTCAGCTACAGCTCGGCCATGAGCGCTTGCACCAGAAGCAGTGAGTGGCAACTGGCACTGCGGCTTCTGGATGACATGGCCACGGCCTCTGCTGGGCCAGATGTCGTAAGCTACAGCATAATCATACAGGGCTGCAGGAAGGCGCAGCAATGGCAACTGGCTTCGTCTTTGATCGACATGATGACGGAATCCAAGATATGTCCGGATGCTGTTGCCTACAACGGGACACTGGACTGCTTAGTGCGAGCCGGAAACCTCTACTACGACATGCCACGCTCCGACCTGCATGCTTCATTCTGTGATCTGCGAGGGCCAGCCTCAGGTGCGATTTCCCGTGTTTCTGCAGACACGTTCAGATCTGCGAGAAGAAAGGGGCCGGAAACCTCGTGTCCCAGGGAGGGCCCAAAGCCAGCAGTTTTCCGTTTTTCGTTTCGCCCAGTTCTCGGGTCTTCAAAGCGGAGCAAGCTGCATCGATTTCTGATCCGTCACAGTCATCAAGAATCAAGTCCTTTAGCACGATATGTTGCCCCAACTTGGTCGAAGTAGCTGCGAGGGTTTCAGTGAAAGTGCCCTAAATGGCAAAGAACCAGCCATGCGCAACTGAAGGGGCCCGAAATACCACAGGCTCTCACCGATCTCACTCAGGCTCAATGCATGGCATCCTTTTGGTGCCAAATCAGAGATGGCGCGGATGTTTTCTGTGCAGTATATTCAATAGTGCCCTTCATTGCAGCTTTAAGTGGTTTAAAATAACACCTCCTCGGGTCATCGGCTGCAAATGCAGCGCCATGGCCTGCCGTGGCCAGGCTGCGAAGTGGCGAATGTGGCGACTTCACAGCGAATTCTCCCAGCATTGCATGGTACTCGACGTGTGGCACTCTGGACCAAGAACATGCAGGCCAAGAAAGGGTGCTTCCAGCTTGATGTGCCACCGTCGCCAGTTGGGACGCCGCGGTCAGTGCGAAATGTCAGCGGTGATTTAGGCGCCTTGGCCCGTGGGAGAAGGTGGCAGGAGTTGTTGACACTGCTGCCTGCCATGTCATCTCAGAGCCCTGATACATCGATCGCATACAACTCGACGATCGCGTCTTTGGGCATGACCAAACATTGGAAGCAAGCTCTTCAACTGTTTTGTGACATGCCGGCCGCACAAGTGGCCCCAGATGTTGTTAGCTACAATGCCACCATAAGATCCATGTCGAGGAGTTCGCTGTGGCAGCCTGCTCTCAGTATATTCGCGTCCATGTGGGGCTCTGGGCCTACGCCAAATGTCAGAACCTTTAACTCCCTTATTAGCTGTTGTGAGGAGTCGGGGCTGTGGCAGCTGGCATCCCTTCTCCTATGTCAGATGATTCAAAGACAGATGCTTCCAGACGTGATAAGCTATACGGCAGCTATGAAGACCTGTAAGTTGAGTGCCCAGTGGTCCTTGGCCTTGCAGTTTTTCCACCGGACCCACGGCGCGAGGCTTAAGCCAGATGTAGTTAGCTATGGCACCGTGCTGAGCTGCTTTGAGAGGAGCGGGCAGTGGCAACAAGCTCTGCAGCTCTTCAGCATTATGCCGACCCATGTGCTCCCCGACATCATCGCGTGCAGTTCTGCCATCAGCTGCTGTGAGAAGGGTGCCCAGTGGGAATTCGCCATATCAATTGCCAGCATGATGCCTGGGCGAAGCCTTTTGCCCAACGTCGTCACTTACAGTGCGACCATCAGTGCATGTGAGAAAGGTGCCCAGTGGCAGTTGGCCTTGCAGCTGCTGACCGACATGACGCTGCGACGGATCTCGCCAAACATCATCAGTTTCAATGCAACGTTGAGTGCTACAGAGAAGGCAGGCCAGTGGCGGCTAGCATGCTGGCTCTTGGGTCGAATGCCGAAGAGGCAGGTGACACCTGACGTTGTCACCTACAGTGCTACTATAAGTTCTTGCGAGAAGGGCGGGCAGTGGCAGATTGCCTTGTTTCTCTTCGAAAGCATGTCAGACGCAAGCATCCGTCCAAATAGTTTCAGCTTCTCAGCTGCTATCAGCTCCTGCCAAAAGGGAGCTCGATGGGAGCTGGCTTTGCACCTCCTCAGAGTGATGCAAGCATCACGCAGCTTCGACGAGGCATGAAGTCAGGCTCTACGCTGTCGAACCAGCTTTCCTTTGCCTGAGCCGTTCTGTGCATTTCGGAAGCCATGCCTTCCAGGAAAAGGGCCGGGGGGGGGGGGCAGGAGCGCTCCGGAAAGCGGTGGACACGTGCCGCGAGGGGTTCTCATGCCGCTTTGCATGCATCCTGAGGCCCTGCACTGCCTGCGGAAAGGCGGGATGGGTGCAAAGGTGCTGTGATTCTGCTCCACATGTGCTGTAGGAAGCTCCAAACATCTGTGCCTTGTGGCAAGCGCGGCCAGCTCCAGCAGTAAAGCACTGAGAGGCAAAACGTGTGTTTGTCACAAGGACAAAGAAAGATGTCGGCAGCTATTCCTAAACCCTTAACCGTGAATCGCTCAGACCCGGAAAGCCCAAGCCCCGTACATCTTGAAGCATTCCGAATCCCTCCAACGCACCGTGTAAATGGTCAGACCCAAACGGGTCATGAGGAAGTCTCCTTGAGAGACCAGATCTGCACAGGAGACTTCATGAAACATCATTACGAGCTTTTGCATTAAACCCTAGACCCTTTCATCCTCTGTGAATCCCCGATCCTCTTTGTCAAGCGGTGTGTGTGTGTGTGTGTTTGCCTTTGTGCAGCTTCCAGCCGAGCCTGCGCTCTGTCTCCTGTGCATGGAGCCCAGTAGTCAGTAGGATGCACTTGACTTCAGGTTCGCGGTCTGCTCCAAATGTCTGGGAAATAGTAAGTACGTCAAAAGTGCAGTTCTACTTAAGTCCGCTGATTCTTTCAGTAGGGTTTAGGACTCATGGATGCGGAGTGTAGGCTGTCATGACATGACAATGCGGACGTTCTACAGTGACGCCGTCCAGTTCCGATTCACATGAAACCTGAGCATGGTCTCCAACGTGGAGGCTGGCATTACTGACGTGCTGAGAGTGTGCTCTAAGAGTTGGAATCGCTGTTGCTGTCACTCTCGTCGTTTACAGCCATTGTGTGTGGGACTTTTTGTGTTTTTGTTGCTTCGGATCTGTTCGTGGGCGCCAACTGTAACTGGAGGGAGGGTCCAGTGCTTGTGACTGAGGTGGAGCGATCGTTTGTTTGGGCAGCCGCGTGCGCCACCCAGGAACATGAAGCGCAGTCGCAATTGCAAACCTAGTGTGCGAAGCAAGGCCTGCCGCGGGCGAAACGAGACAGAGGCGCACGGGCGCGTTCGCGGTGAATTCCACAAAATTCACGGGGACGCAGTCGGCCATAACCCACCCCTTTGTAACACAGCTGGATAAAGTCGGAACGGTTCATCAAGCATCTTACCGCGTTATCCCGACTTGCGCAGACAATCCGTGCGTGTTTCTGATCAGATCGTGGGATGATCAGAAATCGCCTGTGCCCAAATCAAACAAGAAGCTGCGGTTCTGTCAACTCACCCACCCACGGTTTCACACCCCCCCTAAAAGCCCACAAGAAGGCCAGCGGGCTAGATGCCCGGGGGCCTTGACACACCCCTAATGCTTGTTAGAAGAGTAGAGAGGGAGTTTCGGAGAAAAGTTGAAAGCTCGGCATTCGCATGCTCAGGGCCAGTGCACAGAGCACGCACGGAGATGTGCCTCCGGGCAATGCCTGTTTCTGCTTCCGCCGGGGGCCTCAGACATCCTCACGTAGAGTGCGGCCACTTCCATGTTACGACTTCAGATTTCAGGCCCGAAGCATAGCACAAAAAAGAGCTTCGGAAATCTTCGTGCAAATGTGGCTTCCACGAGAAGTCTGTTCAAGGCGAATGCAACCGATACGAATCTGGCTACGGGTCATGTAGCTGCGAAGTAACGACACCAGCGACACCTGTAAGAAGCGAAGTGTGTTCTTTGCCATTGTTTGCCCGCGAGAGTGGGAGAACTGCTGCCAGCACGAAGCTGTGCGGACGGTGTCGGGTCGCGTTTCGATCATGCAATGATTTCTGGCTTCGTGTTGCGTTTGAACGAGTCCCTGCCCGTTGGAGCTTGCACGACAAGTCCTGTTGTGACAGATCATGATACAGTACAGATCGCAAAGTGGAGATAGGGTCACTGAGGAGCAAGGCCACGTTTGGTTTATTCAACGCCGATACCGCCGATTACCACCATGTAAGCTGCGAGGTATTTGGCGCAGATTCTTGCAGTCAGTGCTCCAGATTGCTGTCTTTGGGATTGCCCGTGCGCCTGGCCCTGTTTCACAGAGCAGAATGCGACACTTCTGTCGGAACATGAAGGACTGTCAGGGTCTGGTCCAACCGGGCCCGAAACTGTTCGATTCTGGCAGGTACGTCGACAGAAACGGTGAGCTGAACCCCAACCCGAAGCGGCCGTGCATGATGCACTTCAGGTGGGGCTCCTGGCGTTTTTCTTTCCAATGCCAGTTAGCTGTACCCGGCAGTCCCGCCACGTGATCAAGCATGCCAGTTCGAGGATGTTAATTCCTTTTTGGGCGGTGGGGTAGACAGCTCACGAATTAGGGGTGTAGTTTCTGCTGCAACGTGCATGTGTCTCGTGTGCCTGAAAGTCCTCCCTGCAGCTCTGCATTCCTCCAGAGCTCCGAGGCTTGATCAGCAGCGCCTGGCCAGTTTGCGGCAAACCTTTACGAAGTCTTCCGTACGACGGGAAATCTTCCTGTGCGCCAGCGCTTGAATGCAGTGGCGAAATGTCCCGTCAAGCATGTTGAAGTTTGCCGGAGTGCAGGTACAACCAGAGGACCGGACAGTACATTCCCCAAGCCCTCTGAGCCAAAGAGTATGCTGAGAGGGGCTTGCGGCTCGAGAAAAGATCTGCCACAACAGATTCAGATCCATGCAAGTCCCTTGCGGTAGTTGCAAAGTGCAAACATTAGCAGCAACCAAGCATTCGCAAATCGATTGGGACGTTTGTGTGTGGTCCGGATGCTCGCGGCAGGCTTTTGCCCCGAGGGAAAGATTTTTCTCAGCGCTCAGAGCGCTGTTGCTGCGGCCATGGCAGAGACACCTGCGAGCCTGAAGAGCACGACCCGACCCCAGGCCTCTCTTTACATTTGCATCATTACGTATCTGTCTATCGACTTAAGATCTATGTTTGCATGCAGACTTTTGTGTGTGTATACATTTTCTACACACGTACATGTACTCACTTTCACGTATGCGACGAGCGTGTAAGTCAGTATCATCGACAAACCGTGTGTGCGTGTACATTTATATGTGCATGTTGTTTCACAACACAGATAGACAGCCTCAGATACACTTGTGGGTGTATGCGCATGTGTACATGTGGGCTGCACTGTTTCGCAAGTGCTTCAGATGCTGGCCTGCATGCGCGCATGCAGACATGCCCATCTACTGCATATTTGAGCATGTATGTCGGCACACGAGCTCATATATGCGTGTGCGTGCATGTTTGTCTATACAGCAAGCAAGCAAGCAAGCAAGAATCAAACAAGCAGTAAGTAGTACCTACGTACGAATGTATCTATATACGTACGTATGCGTTGCTTAGCAGCTTCTTTTGAAGATTTTCTGTGGAACTACACACGCTCGTTTCACAAGCAAACAGGTTTATTTCTTCAATCCGATCAATTTTCTGTCTTGTTCGCCTTTCAATGCCTCAAGCCCCTTTCCCTGCCTGTATTGTGCGCACGTGTCTTGGCTGAGCATTAAGAGTAACCGCTAAAATCAATGTAGCCGCACTGTCCCTCAATCTTGAACACTTTCTGCCTAAAGGGAGACCAGTGGACAGAAAAGAGGTGTCAAAAAAGGCCTGGTCTGCACCCCAAAAGTATTAGAATTTTCGGAGCAGAAGCCTCGGCTCGCGTCTGGATGCCTTGCGGGGAAGAGTTACGATAAGACAAGGGCTACTATGAGGGTTTCTTTAAGTTTAAAGTTTTAGGGTTACGCATGCGCTGAATGAGAACTGCGAGCCTGCAGTGCGAGGCAGACCTGGAACCACATCTTTGTCCAGAATGCGAGGCTGGATGTCTTGGTGCTGGGAATTGTGGCGCTGGGCTGTCGCCGCAATGACATTCTACCGGATCCAGTGAATCTTGTCCTGCCTTCGCAGGGTATGCCTCCAGCGCCCGAGGTGGACGGTTGGGAGGCACGATGCCAATCAGCCGCAGGGTTGCTGGCCCCCGTCACTGCGCATGTCAAGTTGGGAACCCGCGTCCCGTGTCTCGGGGGATTCTGAAACCCTGAAGTCTCTGCAACGATCCGGCGTTTGAAAGCAGGCGACGAAGCAGGTCGGCCGAACCCTGGCCTCGCTGTGCGGAGGCGGCGAGGGGACGACTGCTCTGTACGTCTTTATTGAACTCCACTCGCTAGCATGTGCTAAGCTGGTGGCAAGGCCACGGTTTCCGGCTCGCAACGGTCCTTTCTAGCCATGCCAGGTGGCGGTGAGACAGCAACTGCACGGCTCCCGGATGACCGCAAGAGCAGCGTCCGATAACTGGGGAGAGCACATGTTTTCATCCACCCTCGGACTCGTCCAATTTTCCGACAAGATTGCAGGCTGCCTCCTTCCTGAGCTTCCTTTGAGTGGAGTTTTCGCCCGCGAGGTTGCTACAGAGAACTTCCACGACTTGCACGCCCGGCTGATCTCTAACGAGAACGTGAAGTTTGCAATGTTCAAGGACAAGGCGCGGAGCTGTCCATGGGCACACTATTGAAATGAAGGTAATTCCAGCCCATGCCAGGAGATCTCTCGCTTAATGCGGCTCGACTAGAGATACTTGATTCAAAACCGCCTGGAAAGCAAGCAGCTGGTTGGGAGAGCGAGCTATGCAATCAACTCAGTCCAGCATGCAGAACATGCAACATCTGCACTGCACAACCACAGCATACAAAGAGTGAGAGAAGAATGAAGATTTCAGTGCATGTCCATACAGGCACGCAGACATGCATGCAGGTACATATTCGCACATCTACACAATACATGCATGCACATGTTAACATTGTGAGTACACTGAGTAGGTTCATACACACCTAGGATGAAGTATCCACGAGTCGAGCTAAAACCGGACCTGTCAGCCCGATAGGTAACCACTTGCGTATCAGTAAGACACGTGAGGTGTCAGTAAGGCTGGCCATGGGGAATACCCCTTCGACCTGCGCAGGTATCCTTGGTGGTCAACGTTGCAACTCAATGAGGCGCAGACAAGCGTTTGAAAGCTAGGCAGTCTTGCGTGTGAGAGACGAGGCTGAAAACTTGCCAGATGGTCTCTTGAGCCATCGGCCGATTTCACGTGGGCAGGTTTGACAAAGCAAAACTACGCTGAATTATCTGAGATTTGTGCCGAGCTGAAAGCTGAGCCATTCGAAGTGCCTCCTGGCTGAGAATACGGTACACGTTGTCTAACCGCTGTGTACGACTGTGAAGGGTTGGATATCCAGGCTGGCCTTCCCGTGCAATCAGTTTGGAAAGCAGGAGAAGGCGCAGGGCAGAACCGCGAGGGCGCGCAGCTGTCTTCCTGTCCTGCGCAGGGTTCGCCGGAGCAGATTTCAAACTTCGTCGCAGGCATTCACCTGAAGGCTCCATGCCCAGCATCAGCACGGTTCCGACCTTGCAAGGTAAGCTGTCGGATGCAAACTACACCCTCTTCGAGAAGGCCATGGATAGTGAACACTTAATAACACATGCACGCAGCAGCACATGTCAGCCGGGAAGCGGGGATCGATGAAGCGAGCCCGAAGATGCCAAGGTGCATGTGAACGGCCCCCACACTCATCCGGTGTTCCACTTTTGCAGGCAACGTCCGGTCTGCAAGCCATGTCTTCTGTTCATGTAACCAACAGACTAGTCAGAAGCAGCCGTGACTCGATGCGACTCTTCTATGTTCTTGGAAGCGTCCTCACCTAGCCATGTGCTTGGCGAATGCTCGTTCGATGCTAGCTTTCGAATTTCATGACATGCTCGATTATAGGGCTCACAAAGGCTTCAGATATTGGGTGGGTCCGGCTGGATTCGCCCATGCGCACGCCCACAGATGCAGACGATTGCAGACGCACCCATGCAGGTGCTGACATTCACACGCGTGCACAGGCGCATGTGCACGCACCGTACTTGCCAGGCCTTAACGCATAAAGTTGGAGGAAAACCGACCTGCTTAGCCGTTCGAAAGCCCCGTGGCAGGTACAATGCAGGAGGTACTCGACTTGGAGCATCACGCATGCGCCCCATCCCATGGAACTTCGCCCCGGACTCGTGAGATGTCAGTTTGACATCACAATCATGTCTCGTGAGGCCTTCACGCGGCTTGACCTCTCAGCACTAAGGCGAAGTTCCTCATTGACAAAGAGGGACGCGTCGTTGCGTTTTACAACCCCAAGTGCCAGCCTCACCGTTGTCGCGATCATAGGAGCCAAGGCAGTGTCGGGACCTCTTCTGATGTGAACCTTCAGGATTCCGCCCTCGGAGATCCTGCCTGACATTAAGGCAGTTCTCGCAGGCACCAAGCAGGCCAGCTCGCAGCATAGTCTACACATAATCACATAAATCTTAAATTTGAGAACAATGGAGATTGCGATGAAGCTTGTGCTAATCGCCCAGGGCTCACCGTCGCAGCGCCCGACAGTCGGTTCCGCTGGGGACTTATGCAGGATTCAGGTGGGCCGCCAAGGTATCACAGCCTGATTTCCCCGCCCAGGATGCTCCTGAGGGCTTCTTGATCAGCAGGCGGGTCCGATTGCTGTGTGCCCATAGGCTGCTTCCGACATGCATGCTTCATGATGGTTTCTAGCAGAGTCTAGCATGCCGTCTTGAAAACATTCGCTTGGAGGTAAGCGATGTCCAGTCTGCGCTCGGCGTTGACGTTTTCTCATGCAGTGCGACGGCTCGTCGCACAGACAAGGCCTGCCTTGAAAGGCACCATCCGCACAATGATATCAGACCGGCAATGGTATGCTCATGTGATGTATAAGTCGCCGCGACAGCTGGAAGTAGAGACTACATACAGTACAGTACATGTCTTTTCTGCAAACGGAGCTCTTCATTGCAGTTGCCTCTGTTTCCCACTGATCAAGCCACCAGTCTCACCGGATTCTCAATTTTCAAGTTCGAATACTGCAAGGGCTGTGCACTCTGCATTGCAATCGCTCCGCTTTGAGAGCAGGTTCCTCGCTGGATCAGCATGCGAATGAGTGACTCTATGAGCGAAGGTATGCTTCCGTGATATGTCTGAACCTTGCGAAGTGTATCCGACGTCGTGTGCAACTTCGGAATCTTTGCTCTGAGTCACGAGCGGCTTGCTGAGTCCAGTGCGGATCGGTTCGATGCGGGCGGCAGTGGCAGTGGGCATCCCTTTCTCGCTGTGTCTTTGGTTGCTAGCATGGCTGGCTACCCGGCGTGTCCTCAAAGTGGGGTCCTGTTGGGGGAACCAAAGGTCGCTGGCTCCGCCAGCGAGTTGTTGGCCGTCAATGCTTGATTGACGGTCTGAGATACAGGCGTCGCAGGAAACATGTTGATTGAGATACACTAGTGGGTTGGGTCCCGTGCTGCTCTGAATGCCAGGATTGTCGTGAGCAGACGGCTGCACCTCCACGATGCCTTGAAGTGCCTTGTAGCTTCTTTTGGCACAGTACAGCGGATCGTCAGGATATTGCGAGCTTCGCATGGCACGAAAGTTGCTGCTACCCTGCTGCTTCTGGTGTGACACTGCCGCTGCTGCTGCTGCTGCTACTACTACTACTACTACTACTGCTACTGCTACTGCTACTGCTACTGCTACTGCTACTGCTACTGCTACTGCTACTACTACGTCTACGTCTACTACTGCTACCACTTCTTCTCGCAATGCTACCGTAGCAGTAGCAACAGCAGCAGCATAAGCAGTAAATCTAGCAGGAAGCAGGTGCGAAACTAGCGATCCAAAAACCTGCCAGGAGAGTAAACAATTTAACCACTGCGCATTTCATGGCGGATGTGGCTGCAGCTCTGCCTTTTCAGCAGGCCCGGGGCAGTTGAAGCAGACTGCACGTGGACCAGAGTTCCCTAGTAACTGGTATGTGCCACTTCGCTTGAAAACAGCAGGGAGCAACGAATTGATGGCACACCGTTTTTCTGTCCATCTTCGTCGTGACAGTGGCATCAATCGTGGGATTTATGCGGCAAACCGAGAATCACGGAAACGTGCTACATACTTGAATCACATGGAACTACTGTCCTATCGCTTCTGTGCTCTGATCACATTGCTTTTATGCGGGAACACAATACTCTCTCGAGTCGCTCCATCACGGCACACGCGAAGTTGTCAGGCGAAACGTCAGACATCTCTGCGACGTCTCAAGCAATCCTCTCCACGCTTTCCAGAGCCGAGCCCCCCCTTGCCCGGAGCTCTTGGCACGATGGTTTCTGCCAGGGCCTGGGGGAACTGACGACGGAAATCATCTAGAATCTAGATTTGGTCATGGGCTCCTGCGATCCCTGACGAGAGAAGATCACGCAGTTATCAAGCTACCAAAGGGGTGAATACGAATGTGCTTCTGGAGAATGCCGGGATTCGCAGTCGCTTTGCAAGTTTGCAAACTGCGGAGCTCATGTCAGAATTCAGCGGCCATACACGGGATTGAGGTTTCAACTCTCCGCTGCACTCTGGGCTCCCTCGACCTCCCCGGAAGCTTTTAGCTTAGTCTTCCTCTTTAAGTGGCGTCTCTGCGCTGCAAAACTTGGTTTTGCTGCCTGTCAATCAATGATTCGGAAGACTTTCAAGCCATCCTCTCCAAGAACAGAAGCCAAGACGGACTGCGACAGGCTCGTCGTGCTATGTGGCTCACTGGAAGAGGTCGGGCTATGTTTCTACCGCAGACAGTGTCTGATCTACATTCTAGCCCTCAAATCTTGGGGTGTCAAGCGACTGCCCCCCTGCTGTTATGGGGGTTGTTCCGCTTTGTGGTTCCTTCGCTGTCGGTGTCGTGCTTGGCGCAAGCTGCCAACATGTACAGTACGTCGATCACCGCAGGATGTCGCATGCAGGGAACAAGTTCTCGTTGCAACGGGTAGGACATTTTCCGAGTGTCCGAAGAAGAGAATCCACGCGAGAAGGAGCTCTCACTAGTGCCTGGATCGCAAACAGTCGCAATGATGGCTTTCCCAGGCAACCGCATGTCCCAAAACAAACCAAGTCGCACCGGGACATTGAAAGAGCATGCGTTTGTGCCACGGAGTAGCAAATCTGAGGAGATCGACTCCTGGAAGGAGAAAGCTGCAGCAGGAGAGCGACTGCCACTTCACAGCAGAATACAGTTGACATGAATATCAGACGACGCAGGTTGGGACTTACGACTGAAGCACACTTCACTTTCGACAATTCTGGGTTGTCCAGCCTCGTGAAGCCTTTCTTGTAGCCGGCCTCCTGGTTTGCTCAGGCCATGGCACGGACTTCGAGTTGTGGCTGCACTGACTACAACACCCCGACGTATTTCGCAAATCGAACCAGCCTTGGACCGCTCGCTGACGCCAAAAGTAGATGCCCAAATACAGCCGTGAGATGCCAGGAGGCAGAGACATGAGACACGCTCTTCCTTATGCTTGGCAGGACAGCCTGCTAGCTCAAACATGGCCCTTGGATTTGGTCTACCTTTTCGTGCCGCAGGTGGGCGCTGTAGGTGTGAGCAGGCACTGCTTTGACAATATTGGTAGGTTGCAGTGAACCGGAGATCCTCCAAGGGGAACACCTCCTCACCTTCAACTGTGAATCTCAGGTTTTCAAGCGAGAGAACACTACGTACATGCGCCTTGGCTTCGCAACTTCCGTGGAAAGTTGGTTGCGTGAGTGCTGGGGTGGCCTCTACTAGCAACGTTAAGGTTGAAGCAGGCACCGAGGGAAATCTCAAGACCGCAACAAGATGTGTTCCAGTCACTCCGTCTTGCGAGGATGCCTTCATGGCTTCTGTCGAAGCTTGCCGACCCGCGTCTGCGCTTGATCCGCTGCGAGGACCTGCCCAGAGTTCGTCGCGGGATGCTGCGGACACTTTTTCAGGTTGAAGGTCCAGCCCCCGTTCATTGGGCAGACAACTTAGGCTGCGTTTTTGGTAGGTCTTGGAGCGAGTTTTGCCCCTCCAATGTAATGTAAGCTTCTGAGCCATGCTTGCAAAGAGATGCCGCCTTGAAGGACTGGGGGCCAGCAACTCACATGATGGCACCTTGCACGCAGCAGTAAGCTCTGAGCGGAGATGGAACGGTACCCATGTGGGATTGCCCAGGAGGTGCTCCAAGCCGAGCGAGATCCAGAGACTGCCATTCTTCAGGCCATGCCGCTGGAGGCCAAATCTTACGTTTCACGCACATCTTATGGCGAGGTGGACGACGATCAAAGCTACGGCCCGCATCTGCTGGAGCGGGAAAAAAAAGTTCTTGCCATGCACCGCAAGAGAGTCGTTCTGCACAGAGGAGACGCTGCTCCACGTGTCTGGACCGGCACCCGGTCGTGCTGTTGGCGCTGCCACGCAGCCTGGGGCCCATCAAACCAGCAATTGGGCCCACTTGGCTTCCATCTCTTTCTTGCGAGCGCAGAGCTCTCAGGCATGCGCACTTACACCTCAGCGGCGTCGTCTTGGAAGGCAAGCTCCCGACCACCTTGGCATTGGTGAGCCCAGAGTGCTGGTGTTGTGGCCAGCTTACTTTGGGAGACAGTGGTATAGGTACTGTAGTGCTTCTACATGTAGTAGTTCTCGCAGACCTCCTTTATCTTACTGCATGCTGCAGACCAGAGATGTAGCAACGCATGCACCAGACTTGGGGAAGGTGTCCATGGCGCGCTGTTTCGACGCAAGTTCTTCGACGAAAGCGTCTTTGACTACACTGGCTTCTCGAAGCATTGTCAGGCAGTGTCGTGGAGCCGCCCACTTTCATGTCATTTGATGAAAAACAATGAAAACAGAAGTTT